GGAAGGTAGAGAAGGAGAAGGGAGGCTACACTGAGATGTGCATGGTGTTCATGCGCCAGCAGAGCCCATTCAGTGCTCCTGCCATGTGCTTGCACCTCTCAGGAAGCAACAGCAAAGCAGGCTGCCGCAGACCCTCCAACATTTCTCTAATGAAAATAGGGATGTCCCATTCCATAATTTTACTATTTATAACCCACACATCTTACTGGGTTGCTCCAACCACTTTTGGCAGCTTCCAACATATATAAAAACATAATAAAACATTAAACATTTTAAAAAACTTGCCTATACAGGATTGCCTTCAGATGGCTCAGCGGGTCGGATAACTCCATAGCCTCCAACTTTTCTCCTATGAAAATAGGGACATCCTAAAGAAAAGTGAGACATTCCAGGATCAAATCAGAAACCAGAATGGCTTCTCTAAATCAGGTATGTCCTTGGAAAATAGGGACACTTGGAGGGTCTGTGGCTGCCCCACCCTAAAAGCTGATCTAGGCACTCCACTGCCCCTGATGTTTCTTAGGTCAATGTACTTGAGTGTAAGCAAGTGCCCAGCAATCATACAAATGGGTCTACTTGGTCTCTTTTCCTCCTTCCTGTTGGGACAGATTGCATAGCATCCAGGAGGCAACGGTTGGCATGGGCTGGTGTGTCAGCTACCCTTGACTGTATCAAGAAGCCTTCATTAACAATGACTATCCAGGAAAGGTTCCACAGGTCATATGGCAAGGAGGCTGATCCTTGGATCTCCTTGGCCTGCTTCTCTCCTCACTGGGGAGAACCACTGGGCCTGATACGTACAAAGCCCCAGGGAAGCAGGTATAAAATTATCTCAAGCATGTATTGTTGCCACCCAGCTCAGGCAAATGTCCTTAATATATTGACATCTTCAGCTGGCTTGACAGCTACTTTCCGGGTGTCGTCAGTTTGGTTTGAAAGTAGAAAAAGTTCCCAAAGTAGCTGGATGTTGAGAGCTGCCAGGACCTGTCCATCTGCCACCTTTCAGGATGTGTTGAATTAGATGGAACTTTGTCCAGGCGCCCACGCAGGTTTGCACTGGGAGTCTTCACCACAATTACTTGTTCATCATCTGTACGAATAACTGAGTTTTGCAGTGAAGGGAGAAGCTGTCAAGGCCATTAACTAGGATAGTGGAGGAGTTTGGAAGACAGAAGAGTTATAAAAAGCTGGATGTTTTCCCAGGAGGACCTCTCTACTTTTCACATTGTCTGGGTACGTCTACATATCTAGTCTAGGCTGGATTTGTATTAACCTTCCATTCCAGAAAATTGCACATAACTCTGGGGATGGACAAACCAAATTGAGGCATTCCATCAACATTTCCATTTTCTCAACCTCACACAAGGGCTTCCTTCTGGAAAGTCCACTGACTGAGACTGCATTTGCCGGATTCCCTCAGGGCTTCCCTTGCCCTGGCCTTCACTACCAGACAAAGAACTCCTGTTTCAGGTTCTGCAAAAGCCTTTAATGCATAAATCGGATTGGTGCATAGGCAAGGCACAGGTTACAAGGTGCAGCAGGTACATAAGAGGGGTCTGTGCATGGCTAAGCACAAGCTAAGACATTGATCCAACAAGCAACACACACCCTGTACTATCTTTTTGAAGAGCAGGGCAGGCATAGCTTTTTCCACAGCAAGTGGCCAGGGTCCCAGGACTTGGCAAGCAAATGGGCATTCTTTTGAGTGAGCTGGGTCTGCGTAATTAAGGTTTGTTTGCATCCTCACTGACAGGAGGCGGCATCTGACTAGGCTTGTCTGATGCCAGAGGGCTGCAACACTCCTCTGCCAGCCCATTAGTTCCCTTTCCTGGATCCAGCTCTCCATTCTCTAGACTACTGGCCTCCTCTCCAGTTCTCCTGGGCAAATTGGTATGTTGTGAATGCGGGTTGACTAAGTCCAGGCAGCATTACACAAACTTGCACACCCACCATGCCCCATTCAACCCACCTATGTGGTTGCTGACCAGGGATGCAATGTGGTCAGAACTGGCCCTACCATTAGATACACCGAAGCAAGTGCCTCAGGTGGCAGGTGCTGGGGGGTGTCAGCATTCTCCTAGACTAGTCTGTTGCTGTCAGGTGCCATGGAAGACACTGTCCCATTGCCAGTGCTGAAATAATGTTCGGCTGCCAGTCTAGTCATCATTTGTATGTGGAATGGGGTTTGTGTGTTTGTGGTTGTGTTCTTTGCCTCAGGCAGCAGAATGTCTTGGGCCAGCCCTGGATGCGGTTAAACTGAGGGTGCCGTTTGGCCGAAGGTGGATTGCAGCAAATGGTCATGCCTAGCACTAAGGAGTGCAAAGAATTCAATTGTTTCAACTGCTAATTACTGCCCAGCAGGACAAGGGCAAAGAATAACCACCTGCCAACTTAAAAATGCTACCTGAGTTGCCATAGCAACCATCCCTTTTGCAAAGGAGCCGAGCAGAGGCCTGCTGAGGTTTACGCTGCGTGGCTTAGCCTGCTGCTTCCCAAGTGCCTTTTGTTAGCGATTTATTAGCCATTTGTTGACCTTTCTCCACTTCTGGGATCTCTTCCTCTTCCCTCCCCTGCCCCCACTTCTGCTTGTCGCTGGAAGAAAGTTGGAATTTAACTATTTTTATGCTTTGGTTTAAAACGCTCAAGAGCTGCTGCAAGGGGTGGTTTGTGCGCTGCAAATTTCTCCTGCAAAACGCACATGAGCCTGCGTCAAGATTGGCGTGGATGTTAAAAGGGCATATGTAGTGGTTTCCCGGTGCACTGCAAAGGCCTATACAATAGTTGCAAAAGGACCAGAGTGCGGGGTTCAACTGAGTGATGGGAATGACAAGTCTCTCCAACAAGACTCTTTGGCGGGAGCAGCAAATACTTTTCTCCTCTGCTCCATTTTAAAGGGGATCTCATTATCTTGCAGAATGTCTTTTCCTGCACTATCCCACCTGGGTCATCAGTTCATCTTGGGAGGAGGGCCTTCTCTGAGTCCCCCCTCCAAGAGAGAGGGTCTGCATGAATAAAAGGGCCTTCTCTGCTGTGGCTCCCCTTCTTTGGAATGCTCTTCTCATGGAGATGTGCTTGGCCCCAAGTCTTAACATTTTTTTCTGCACCAGGCTAAGACTTAAAATAAAATAAAATAAAATAAAATACCTGTTATGAGAATTATAAGGTCTAAGATATAAAATAAATGTTCATAAATGTACCAGGCACATACATAAATATATAAACCACATGTACAGGAAAACAGTCCTAAAGCCATCTTGACTTTCAGTGACCTCAAATATTCCTCTACAGTTTGGATGGAAATGGGAAAAGCCTCCCCATTGTCTCTGTGCTCACAAATCCTGCCTTAAGGGCACATTTGTGTATAAATAGGGTGAGCCTGTGACCAGGAATTAAGTATTTACCATCACAAAAGAATGGCCAGGCTGTCCAGGTAAACCCATTAACATGTTTCCTGCCAGACAGGATTCTGCTGTAGACCGCCCCTTCTGTGATGTACGTATGATGTATTGGGGGGTGGTCTTGAGCCACAGGGTGGCAATTTCAAAAGTCTATATAAGGGCTTGCACATCATTGTTCTGGGTTGCTCCTCCCTCCTGCGTGCGTGTGTGAATACCCCCAATCATTTGGATATTGATATTTGTCTCTTGAGTGCTCAGTCTATGGTTTTGAGCTACTCCCTGTTGCACGGCGATCATTTGTGATAATGTTATGGTGGGAAATGTGCAAACTGGGGAATATCTTTGGGGTGATCAGCGCTATTGTTGCATGTTAAACTATTTGTTTGCTATGTAAGTTGCCTTGAGACCTTTGAGTGTACGGTGATGCATCAAATTGAAACAACAACAACAACAACAACTTGGGGCTGCTAACGTAGCAGTTTAACTTCACCCCCGGAGGCCAACAACAAAATTTATTAGGGAAGATAGAGAAAAGCTTGCTCTCTGCTGCTCCAGAGGGCAGGACCCCAACCAATGGCTTCCAATGGCAAGCAAGGAGATTCCAACAAAACATTAGGAATAATTTTCTGGTGGTGAGAGCTGTTCAGCAGTGGAATGGATGAGACAAATGCAATGACTGTTAACTGTGATAGGTGAAAGGTACTGCCTCTGAACACAGAAGTGTGAAGACCACATGCAGAGGACTAATAATAATAATTTATTTGTACCCCACCCATCTGGCTGGGTTTCCCCAGCCACTCTGGGCGGCTTCCACAAAGACCAAAAATACACTAAGATGTCACACATTAAAAACTTAAGATGTCTTCTGAATGTCAGGTAGTTGTTTATCTCTTTGACATCTGATGGGAGGGCGTTCCACAGGGCGGGCGCCACTACCGAGAAGGCCCTCTGCCTGGTTCCCTATAGCTTTGCTTCTCGCAATGAGGGAACTGCCAGAAGACCCTCGGCGCTGGACCTCAGCATCCGGGCAGGACATTGGGGGTGGAGACGCTGCTTCAGGTATACTGGGCCGAGGCCGTTTAGGGCTTTTAAGGTCAACACCAACACTTTGAATTGTGCTCGGAAACGTACTGGTAACAGGAGAGGGCTGTTCCCTCTCTGCTTGTTAGTGTCCCTGGAGCATCTTGCTTGGAGAGAGGATGTTGGGCCAAGGAGACGTTTTGGTCAAAACCAGTAGGGGCTATTCTGACATTTCCCTGTACTGGCCTACCTTATAAGGATGGTGTGGACGTTGTTGAGATAATGTGTGAGAAGCGCTTTCACCACCCCCTGCAGATCTTGAACTTCAACTCCCACCTTCCCTAATAGTTGGCTGTGCCAGTGGGACTGATCGGAGCTGTGGCCTGCCAGCATATGGTGGGCCCACCTGTTCCCCACTCCTGATTTAAGGGGGGAAAACAACATTGTGGCTTCCCAGGATTACCTGCTGTGCTGAAGCTGCTTGTCACCAGGTTTTCAGACTGCCTTGTACTCAGCAACCCCTTTTCCCTGTAGTCTGATTCAGAGCTGCCATCCTGCCAATCATTGAGCTGTAGTAGTAGTAGTGTGTGTGTGTGTGTGTGTGTGTGTGTGTGTATCTCCATCCCTTTGTCCAGTGTAAAAATTGAAAGCCAGCCCTGGAATAGATCTCGGGGGCCCTGCTGTGATTTCCCCACTGCCACGGTGACCACACACACACACACACACACACACACACCATCTCTAGCACAGTGTGTTCCCCAGCTGTGATCTGGCAGCCAGTTAAAAATAAACCCTCCTTTAATTTGTTAAAGAAGACAGCTCATGTGTAAGATTTGAGGCACTCTGGTCTCCGACACTTCCATGTTATATAACAGCTTCGAATTCTCACCCTGGACTCTGGAGGAGGGACTTTTAACGAGTCTCTCACTTTCTAAGGAGTTCTTATTAGACAGCTGGGTAAAAAAGAGTCGAACCTGTTATACTGAAACCACGCTGGAAAGGGGACCGCTGGCTTGTGCAGCCTGTTTTTTCTTCTTTACATATGCCAGGGCTGCTTTCTCCTTTTTCTTTTCCCTTTCTCCCTCTGCCACCTCCTTTTTTTTTTTTCTTCCATTCTTTTGCAGCAGGGAAAGGGTGGGGAGAGAAACAAATTTGTTGTACATGACATTGAACAAAGGAGGCAGAAGTTGCAGGAAAACAGCCACAGGATGACTTTGATTCCTTTCCAAAAATGGTTTCTGTGTGTTTTTACCTGCTTTCAGCTTTATTATTATTATTGTTTTAAATTCAGTCTAATCAAATGTGGATTTGCTACAATCACATCTCCTGCTAACCTTCACCTGGAGACGATTAATATGCATGGTGTTCATTAGGGGCTTGTTTAATTCTTATTTATGGAAACGAGAATCTGATATAACCGGCGCTGAGAAGGAGGCACTTAAAAGGCAACCTGAAGGAAGGTGGCAGTTTCCCAATGTGGAAGAAACACAAGTCTTCACGCTGTGGTTAAAGGTCTGTCCAAGACTTGGTTTATCAAGATGAGGCCATGTCATTGAAGAAGACCCCACCAGCCAGAATATCTTCCAAACTGATCAATAGGATGTTCTGCCTACATACAGAGCTAGCAGCTTTTTATAGGGATGACAAAACTGTCGCATCCTAGTTAATAACAAACCACGAGAAACCAGCTTTGCAGGATAAACAGCACTGCAAAAGTCAAAGCCACCAACATTCCTTACTTCATTCTTCCACCTTCTCTCCCACCTTCATGGCCTTAAGAGAGAAGCAGGTTCAGGCCTATTACAGGCCCATTACAGACCCATACATTTTGCTTCCACTCCAAAAAGATGTTGTTATGAGAGAGAAAAACCTGCTCCTTTTCCCTTATGGGGTACCCAAGAGCCCATATAGAGTCCTCTTTTTAGGTTCTCTATCGCTAGGAGGAAATAACAGAGACCAACAAGAGAATATTGAGAAGCAAAGCAGCTACTAAACCTGATATTTATTAAAGCTGTTGCAACAGGGTGCTCCCCACACACACACAGGAGAGAGGGAGGGTACCCGAGCCATGCGTGCAAGCCCTTATATAGACATTTTAAATTGCCCTCCCTGGATTCCAAGACCACCCCCAGAAACTTCATACATACATCACAGAAGGGGTGTGGCCCAAGACACCCCCTTAATACAGCAGAAAGGGGATGGAAATTTGGGTGTGTTGTTTCTTCCTGCCTGCCAGGTTACCTGATTGGATTATCTGGGCATCCTGGCCACTCTTTTGTTATGAAAACTACTCAATTCCTGAATTCAGGTCACAGGTCACAGGCTCACACCCTATTCATATCTTAAATGTGCCCTTAAGACAGGATTTGTGAAAGAGGCAATGGGGAGATTTCCCATTTCCTTCGACCTTGCAGAGAAATATTTGAGGTCATTTTGGGAGAGAGAAAATGGTTTCAGGTCTTTTCTGTGGGTTTCAGATATGTGGTTTACATATTTGTATGTTTTGTTTGGTACATTTATGAACATCTATTGTATATATATAAGACCTTTATAAAACTCTTATAACAATGTAAACAACCTAATCCACAAATTTGCTCATCTGGACCACTTTAGGAAACATCTGAAGGTAGCCCTGTATAGGGACGCTTTCTAAGGTTTAATGTTTTACTTTGTTTTTATATATGCTAGAAGCTGCCCAGAGTGGCTGGGCCAACCCAGCCATATGGGTGGGGTACAAACATCCAGCCAACCCAGCCATATGGGTGGGGTACAAAGCGAAGATCATGGCCACTGGGCCCATCACCTCCTGGCAAATAGAAGGGGAAGAAATGGAGGCAGTGACAGATTTTACTTTCTTGGGCTCCATGATCACGGCAGATGGTGACAGTGCTCCTTGGGAGAAAGGCGATGGCAAACCTAGGCAACATCTTAAAAAGCAGAGACATCATCTTGCCAAATAAGGTCCGTATAGTAAAAGCCATGGTTTTCCCAGTAGTGATGTATGGAAGCGAGAGCTGGACCATAAAGAAGGCTGATCGCTGAAGAATTGATGCTTTTGAATTATGGTGCTGGAGGAGACTCTTGAGAGTCCCATGGACTGCAAGAAGATCAAACGTATCCATTCTTAAGGAAATCAGCCCTGAGTGCTCACTGGAAGGGCAGATCGTGAAGCTGAGGCTCCAATACTTTGGCCACCTCATGAGAAGAGAAGACTCCCTGGAAAAGACCCTGATGTTGGGAAAGATTGAGGGCACAAGAAGAAGGGGACGACAGAGGATGAGATGGTTAGACAGTGTTCTCGAGGCTATGAACATGAGTCTGACCAAACTGCGGGAGGCAGTGGAGGACAGAAGTGCCTGGCGTGCTCTGGTCCATGGGGTCACGAAGAGTCGGACACGACTAAACAACTAAACAACAACAGCAAACATCATCATCATCATCATTATTATAATTATTATTATATTCTAGAGCCCCGTTGATGTCCAAATCCACCCCCTCCCTGCCCAGATGAATCTGGTTAGCTCACAGCTACTGATAGCTACTACTACCAAGGGATTCCTCTACAGCTGCTGGGTAAGTAAGGGGACGTGGGTGGCGCTGTGGTCTAAACCACTGAGCCTAGAGCTTGCTGATCAGTGGTTCGAATCCCTGTGACGGGGTGAGCTCCCATTGCTCGGTCCCTGCTCCTGCCAACCTAGCAGTTCAAAAGCACATCAAAGTGCAAGTAGATAAATAGGTTCTGCTCCCGCAGGAAGGTAAACAGCGTTTCCATGTGCTGCTCTATTTTCACCAGAAGCGGCTTAGTCATGCTGGCCACATGATCCGGAAAAACTGTCTGCGGACAAACGTCAGCTCCCTTGGCCAGTAAAGCAAGATGCAACCCAAGAGTCGTCTGAGACTAAACTTAACTGTCAGGGGTCCTTTACCTTTACTTTAAGTAAGTAAGACCTAAGACAGATGCTTTGCGGGTATGAGCAGAATGGAATGTCACCAAGTGTCGTTAGAGCAGATAAACAACACAATTCTAGGCCAAAAGAAGTTCATTTCTGGAACCACCACAATGTGAAAATTCTCAAGAGGAGTCCCTGCCTCCTTGGTCCTTAGTCCAAGTCTCGGGCAGTCTTCCTGCAACGCCCATGTCTGGACACCCCAACGGAGAAAGGCACAGGGAGATGCTCGAGCGGCAAACCGAGGCCGTTCTCTCTGACAAGCCCCTTGAGATCCTTCGGGATGAGAGGTGCTGATGGGAATGGGAAATGTTATAAAAATATCATGCATTCCCCAGTGGTTGTGCTGGTATTTGAAAGCGGAGCACTGAATTAAGCAGCCTCCCTCCCCCCACACCCAAAAGACTTCCCCTCCACATTTTTCCAAAGGTCAGCTGCACCAGTCACCTCCCCTTCTGTATTCACCGCTTGCCTCTATCGTCCCATCACTCCTCTACCTCATTATCTTCCTTTCTCTCTTATCTTTCCATCGAGCTTCCTTCCTGTTTGAAAGAAAGGAGAGAATAGAAAAAGAAAGGCTACTCGATTAGCGATGCAGTTTGAGCTGACTTTGGATCTCTCCTCCTCCTCTCTTAAATATTAAGCAGTGCTTGGAGTATCCATGGAGAACTGTAGACAGCAGCCTTCTCAGAAAGGTTGCTTGGAGTTGTGTGTTGTTGTATTTATTTTTTTTTGCAGAAGGAGCCAAGCGGTCAATCAAAAGTACAAATAGTTGTGTTGTGTTTTCATTCTGGGTGACAATGAAGGGGCGGGGGAAACCCCGTCCAGGAAGAGATGCCTGTTTGGATGATGGCCTGCACATCTCAGCATCAGCTCTTCAGACACCTTCTCTGCCTCCTTGAGTGATTGGGTCAGGAGGTCCTCCTTTCAGGTGACCCATCCCGGCGAGCTTGTGGCAAAGGATGATTGGAAGGTGACAGCCTCTGCTTTGTGCTGCCTTCCCGGCAGCCTCAGATATTGCTCGGAGAGCGGCGGTAAACTCTGGGTAACAGATGAGGTGTTTTGCATCCTCAGTGGGCCACTGTGGCAGGAATGGCCACGGGGGCTGTTCAGATCATCATCTGCAGATGCAGTGTTTACATTGTGCTGCCGCATGGAGGTCCCGCAGGAATACGGACTAGGCATAGTTTGGCTTTGCAGCTTCAAAATAGCTTTTGTGAGAACAGAGAGAATAAATATCCTTGGTGGAGGCAAGAGGCCTAAGCCGCCGCCGCTGAAACAGAAAGGAGCAGTCTGATACCACCCTGAGACCTGTGGCTATAGGGCAGTACAGTGGTACCTCGGGTTAAGTACTTAATTCGTTCCGGAGGTCTGTTCTTAACCTGAAACCGTTCTTAACCTGAAGCACTACTTTAGCTAATGGGGCCTCCTGCTGCAGCACGATTTCTGTTCTCATCCTGAAGCAAAGTTCTTAACCTGAAGCACTATTTCTGGGTTAGCGGAGTCTGTAACCTGAAGCATATGTAACCTGAAGCATATGTAACCTGAGATACCACTGTATATACTGTATTTTTCACTCTATAAGACACACCAGACCACAAGACACACCTAGTTTTTGGAGGAGGAAAACAAGAAAAAAAATATTCTGAATCTCAGAAGCCAGAACAGCAAGAGGGATTGCTGTGCAGTGAAAGCAGCAATCCCTCTTGCTGTTCTGGCTTCTGGGATAGCTGCACAGCCTGCATTCGCTCCATAAGAAGCACACACATTTCCCCTTACTTTTTAGGAGGGA